TACTTACGTATTTTCATCAACCATATCAGGTCTACTTAATTTTTTGCCCATTGTCAATAAAAGAGCAATAATGCAGCAAATTTTGGGTTGTTTTGTTCTGTCTCTGGTTTTTTGTGTCTCGTTTCTTCTTTTTCTAGGCTGGGTATTCATATGCATGTATAATTAGGGAGCAGAGAGCTGAAGGCTGCAGTGGGGCACAGGGCAGTTCAACATCTACTTGGCTGGAGGCACCATTTCAAGGCTGATGGTGGCTGAGGACCACCCCTTGGGTTGAGGTGGATGGAACCTGGGGTGCCAATGCTAAATCAAATCAGGAGCTTTGTTCCCTATGACACAAGCCCATGGGCTCAAGGGGTTCCATCCAGGCTGTGGGGGAGCAGGGCAGGAAGATGAAAACAGAAGTGTTCTGGGTCTGGTCTGAGGCTGGCTGCCCCAGGCATGCCTCTGTGTGGTGTGCACTTATTCCAGGAAGTCTGGCCCCCATCCCGCAGCTGTCTACACAATTGTGCTGATGCCGCTGGGTTTGGCCTTGCTGCTGGTGGCGGGCGGTGGGGCAAGGGGCTGCCCATGGTGGTGTGCTGTGTGGCCTGTGTGGCCAGGGTGGCCAGTGTGGGCTGAGGGCAGCAGTGGGTGCCCGTGTGAGTGGGCCCCATAAGATGGGTGCCCCCCGTGGGGGCCATGGTGGTACTGGTGTGCATGCTGGACATGCTGAGGGGGGTGGTAGTGGTGGTGGTGGTGGTAGGGGGGTGGGTTCTGCTGCATGTGGCAGTACTGGGTATGGTGCCCATGCATCTGGGCCTGTGGAGGGCCTTCTGCCAGCCCCTGGTGATGGCCAGCCACGGAGTGCTGTGGGTGGGGCAGGCTCGGTGGGTGTGGGGGTGGTTGGGGAGGAGCTGAGGGCAGGTGAGTCTGAGGAGGGGGCTTCCCTCTCTTACTCCCAAATAAGGAGCCCAGGAGGGAGGATGAATTAGGCATAGTCTGGTGTGGGCGAGATGGACACTCTCGTGTTGATGTAGCTCTCCGGCGCATGTGAGGACTGCTAATGATGGACCCCTAAAAAGGAAATTCATAGAAATCAAAATTAAAAGATCTTAAAGCACTTATGTCAGAATGATTTTTTTAAAAAAATGTAAAAAGTTCACCCACTGACTGCTAAGCCTTAGTTCAACTCACTGGCCACAGAGGATAGGGCTGGGTGAAGTTGGACTCTGGTGCCACCTCCTCTCAAGCTACTGTGGCAGGTCAGTTGTGGGGGGAGGGGGGCATGGAGGGACATTCAGTAGCCTTCCAGTGAGAAAAGTGGGAGGTAGGACAGGAGAGGAGAGACTCCTTTCTGGTCAACCGTAGTAGCAGCACAAGTTTAGGCTCTCATCCTGACAAGCACCCTGCCACGGTGGGCAGCCTGAGCTTTCAGACCAGAACAATTTATTTGGTGATGTCTGTGAGTGGTGTGTGCTGAGGAAAGTGGGGCAGGCTAGTGTGCATGAGTGGTGTGTGCTGAGGAAAGTGGGGCAGGCTAGTGTGCATGAGGAGGAACACCATTCCTGTTGAAATCACACCCTCAGCTCTCCTGGGTCCTCTCAATGGGTCTAAGGACATTTGCTCAGCCTGTGTGGGTCCCAAGGTTTCTGAGAAGGTAGTGGAGGAACAGAAGGGGCTCGGGAAACCTTGTTCTGGGGGTGGTGGACTGCCTAGGCATCTCACTGCAGCTACCTACTGCAAACCAAACAAGAAAAAAGAAACAAAAAGATCTGCAAGCTGAGGTTAAGATGTGAACAGTAATATAGAGATGGTTGGAGAATGAATGAAATCTCATGAAATCCAGTTTTTCTTTCTCTCACAGCTCTCCTCCTCCCCCAATTTAGCTAAGCAATTCCATGGTACCCTGACTATAAACACACAGCAATCGAAACTCCAGGAAGGAAGCGATGGGGGTGGCGGAGCATGGAAGTCCAGAAATTGGCAAAACCCCTAGAGCAAGGCTGGAGGGTGCTTAGCAACTGCTGCTTCCCACCCAAGAGCAGTGCTTATTGGGGGGAACCCGGGGGAAATGCCTGGAAGCTGGGGATGTTAACCATGCTCTGGGACCAGAGGGTACAGGGGTTAAATGGGAACAAAACAAAATCCAAAACTATCCCCACCATTCCAGCCCAAACAAGCGGTGAGAGGCACGGGAGATTCTAGGCAGAGAGGAAGCTGGCATGCATTGGGCTGAGGCAGGTTGGGAGGGGGAGTGCGGGGAGCACATGTCTGTGCCTCTGTGCAGTAAGGAGAAGAGCAAAAAACAATAAACAAAGACAATAGATATAAACCAAGGATTGGGGAGGCAACACATGACAGCCAGCTGAACGTAGGTGCTTCCTACTTACTTCCACATTGCTCTCTAGCGATCCCGCACTGCTGCGACGCCCTCGCTTCCCTGCCCAGAACATGCAATACCAGAGGTTAGACGCAGACATGAGGCCGGGGCACTGTGCCACTACCACCACCAGGCTCAGGTATGGGGCCCACTAGCTGGGTGTGAGCGGTGGGGAGCTGGCAGCAGGACAGTATGAGTTTTAAAAAAAGGGAGGGGGGTGGGATTTAAAAGACAGGAAAAAAAATCTTTTCAACCAGCCCCAACTTTATAACCCTTCTCTTGGGCTGGCAGACTGTGGGGAGGGCCCCCAGGAGGCTTAGGTGGGTATACAAGTGTGACCTGAAGCCCCATACTCAGGTTGGCCTCAGCAAGCTGCTAACAGGCGTCAGGGGTAAAGACAACTTCTCCAACAGCTAAAAACAAACAAAATGTGATTCTGCATGGGTCTGGCTTCCAATGGATTTCATATATGTATGGTACGTATCTGCATATACATACATACTTAATAGCTCCCCCTTCCAGGAAAGGTGGGCCTAATGGTTAGGAGAAAACTAAACTTCGTATCCTTTTTTTCCTGGATAGATTAAAGATACTGCTGGCTCTGGGGCTGAATGTTTGGTTTGTGCAGGGCCCTAGCTGGGGCCAAGAGACAGGGTCCAGTGCTGCTGGGAAGGAACCGGAGTCCTGCTTCTTTCTCTGTGGTGGGCACCACCCACTAGGGATGCCACAAGCATTCTTTCAGCTCTCACTTTCAACGGCTTTTTATGTCCCCAGTGCATGGGACATGGTAGGCTATGTTAGAGGGAGGCTGAGTCTTTCTCTTGGTTTGGGATGTCAGGGGCTACTCTGGCCTCCACAATCCCTCAGGAGGACCCCTCTGTGAATTCCTGCAAGACATCTAGGCCGGCAGGAAGAAAGGTGCTCAAGCTTAGGGACCCAGCCTCCATGTTCAAGCTCTGGGAACGCAAATGGGAAGCAGGACACAGAGAAGGGGCCTCCCACTTGATATTCTCTAGGCTTCCTTCCATCTCTGCAGCCCTGGCCATGAGCTAAGTACCACAGTTGTTCTGGGTCAAACCCCAGGTGCCCCTCTGTTCATGCCAAGGGGGAGACAGGCTCTGGCCAATGATCTGACCAGCTCAATCCCTACAGTGAGCAGGGTTCACCTACAGATCTGCCTGTCCATCTCTAAGGCTAGAAATTTTGGCCATATTCCCTTCTGAGCTGGACCCAGGCCAGACCCAGGGGAGCTTGGAAGACAGGAGAGATTGCCATGTGCCTCTCTGTGGCCTACAGCCTAGGCCCACATTAGGTAGAGAGGGTGTGCCTATGGGTCCTTTGGGCCTCATGGAGGTGCCTAAGTATTCCAGGCCATGCCCAGGACAGGGTCTTGGTCCTAGGCAGGCCACGATAGGCTCAGGAGAGATCTAGTCCCTTTTGCCTTGCCTGCTGACTACTGCCCCCCTCCCCACCAACAGCCTGAATTCCAACTAGGAGCCTGAGATCTAAAGAAGGCCTTGCTGGACTCTGGCATGTGTGAGAGAACCTCCAGTTGCTGAAGACCCAGGAGAACCAGGCACAACCTGGCCCTTATTCTCAGCCAGAAGAAAGATGAGGGTCCCATTTCCTCATCTTTCAGCTGGTGTGAGAAGAGGCTGACCTTCTTCCCTTTCTCCCTTCTGTCCCAACAGTGGACCAGGGACATGAAGCAGAATGAGTCCAGCCTCCCAGAAGGAGGCTCTTTGGCCGGGGAGGTGACCCCATGTGGCACTCTTTTGACTCTTCAGTTTCTGCATCTGTGAAATGGGCGTGTCATCTGTGCCTCCCCTCCTAGGCTGGCCACAAACATCAAACACTCAGAATATTGTGGCACCGTGTGGAGAAAAGGTCAGATCTCTGTTGCTTTGGGAATTTAAATCCACTCTCTGGCCTCTCTAAGGGGTAAAAACCAGGGACAGAGGAGAAAGCCTGCCTCACCAGTGCCCAGTAGTGCCTTCCAGCCAGCTTATATCTTCCAATGAGAGTAAGGCCAGGCTTGGAGTTAGGTTTGGGACTACATATGGTGCTGACTTGGAGCTGAACAAATACCCCTACCCCTCTTCCTCCTCCTGCCCAACGTGGGGCAAGACTTAGGAGAGCTTTAACTTGGATGTCTTTGAGTGATGCTGAATTTCTTAGAACTTATCTTCTCTGCTTCTCGGATCAGCATGAGATGTGGGGTGTGCCTATAAGAGCTTTCTGCACTTTAGTCTCAGAGACCCCACTCACAGACACATCCACAGACACTTGCGCACTACAGACCTATATCTAGGCATGTGCACATGTGCACACACTATTTATTATTATTATTATTATTATTATTATTATTATCAGAAGTAAATGTCAAAGAAATCACACTGTGAAATGCAGCAGAACAGCTGTCACTAGACTGTGTGCTTCATGCCTTTCCCCCAGTATCAGGGAGGGGTTATAGGGAGCCATGTCCATACTTGTAGTCAGTCTCCGTGTGACTAGTGGCAGCACCTGGTCTTCTTAGGTGGTCTCCCATCCAAATACTAACCAGGCCCGACCCTGCTTAGCTTCCGAGATCAGACATTGGGCTTGTTTAGGGTGGCATAGCCGTAGACCATGGACTGTGGCTCCACTGGGGCGTGAACCCAGGACCTTCTGCATGTAAAGCAGATGTGATAACCGCTACACTATGGAACCACATCCCACACTATCTATAATAGAAGCAAAATATGCCATAACAGTGGCTCATGCCACGTGCCCACACTACCCCTCACCTGCACTGTTTACAGGTACCTTCTCCTTCTCTCAGGATCCTGCACTAGCCTTAGGTGAGCCTACCCCAGTACCTCTCCTAGAGCCAAATCAGGCCCTACCAGCCCAGCCACAGCTGTGATCAGAATCATGTCTGGAAGGGGCTCCTAGCATGGCTCTTTAGAGCCTTTCTCTGACTCTTAAAAGTCAGGACAGGATGCAGGCAGGGCTCTCTGCCCAGAGGTTTTGCCCTGTGGCCCTTACCAATGCTAAAGGCCAAGCATAATTAGTGACAACAGCTACACAAACTGTGGGGCAGGCCCTGCCCTAAATGCTTGGCATGCATCGACTCTCTTACAGAGATTCTTGGAGTAAAGTAGAAGTCCCTATGTTGCAGCTGGGGAAACTGAGGCCCAGAGATGTAACTTAGCCAGGTGCTGATAGCTAATGACCAGCAGGCAGAGAGGGGAGAAGATCTTATCAGCATAACTCTGGAATCAGTGTGCTGTACATCCTCTGCTGGGCTCTGCTTGGGTGGCCATCTCAAGTGTACCCCTGAGCATGGCCCCTGTCCCAAGAGAGGTAGCCACAAGCCATTTTGTGTGCAGAGTACCTGTCTTGGGACAGCAGGTGCTGCTTTGGAAACTGGTCACCCATAGCTGCCAAGTCTCCCCAGACCGGGCTGCCCTGGTGCAGGACACAGTAGGTCTCCAGCTGTTTCTGGGACAATGATGGGTTCAGGAAAGAGATATCCCCATGGGGACTGGTGTTGGGCAGCTCAGCCAGGGAGAGACAGGATGACCTTGGGGGCCCACAGATAGTGTCCACTATGACTTGACTGATCTGGGGCAGCGGCTAAGTAAGGCTCAGTCACACCTGTATCTATGGTCCTTGCTAGTCCTGATCTCAGGCCAACAGAGCTCTGGTACCACTGAAATGAGTACAGGGCCCTAGATGCAGGAAGACCATGTGGAGAGACATGTAGTGAGGCCTCACAGCTCAGTAGGAAGCTGGAGCTTACTCAGGCCCCTTCCTCTACTTCTCAGAATGTCAGGGGCTCCTGGAGGTATCTGCTACCAGGCTTCTTCCTAGGCCATGACTGCCTACTGGGTCCCCAAGGTTCATGGAGGACTGAGGACAATTTCCTGGTGTGTTTTCTCCTGGAGGGATGTATGAGTACAGATCTGGGGCAGTTGCTCTGGGAGTGATGACTTGCCAAGCACTGAGCATCTTCTCGACAAGCTCATCTCAGTGAAAGTCATGGTAGGTGGGATTGATGTTGCCTCTGGAGAGCTTTGCCCTAACTTAGTCCAGAGCACCTAATTCCGCACCTTCAGCTGCCGAGTCCAGCATCTTCTGAAAAGGCTACTGACATTGGAGTGTCTCCCTCTGGAAGCCACAGGTGTCCTGTACACAGTCTGGGGCCTTGGCAGCTACCAGAACTCAAAGACTCACCTCATCTCACTCTCTAACCTTCCTGGGGGTAGGGGATTTTCTTTCCTGGGGATTCTTTTCAGTGTGGCTTTGGTCCCTGAGAGGACATAATCTCTAGAGTCCTTCTCAGCTCAGAATCCCCAAGTGACAGTGGCAATAGAAATAATAAATGGAAATCAGCCAAACCCTGGAGTTCCATCCCTCACATGGCCATATGCCTGGGCGTGTGGCTCTGTCTAACCCCCTAAGCTCTCTCAGAGAGTGGACCACTGAGGTCCTGACTACCAGGACCGTACTGAGTGTGTCTGGACATGCTGAAAACTTCAGTTCTAATAGAGCCACTGCTACATGAGGAGGTTAGACAGGGCCCCCAGCCCTCCAGATAACAGAGGCCAGATCCTGCTCCACTGCACAAACTCAAACACAGGCCCCATGCTCCCAGCCTGCAGAGGCTCATGGCAGTACTGTTATGTTTAGCTGAGTTTAACAAGCCACAGGGAAAACCAATGCTTCTCAACCAAGGGTGACTTTGCTCTCTAGACAATATCTGGCAATTTCTGGAGACATTACTAATTGTCATGAATGGAAGACAGAGGCCAAGGATGCTGCTGAACTTCCCGCTCAGGACAGTCCCCACAGCAAGGAATTATTAGGCACAAAATGTCAATGGGACTGGGGTTGAGAAACCCTGGGTTAAGCCTCATGTTGGCAATGGATTTCTGATTTTCACTATGAAGGGAAAAAAAAAAAATGACAAGACAAAAAAAAAAAAAAAAAAAAAAAAAAAAAAGGAAAAAAATCCAAATTAAAAAAAAAAAAGAAAGAAAGAAAAAAGAAAAAAATTCTGGGAAATGAATAAGATAAGCAAAGAGAGGCAGAGCTGCTGGCAAGGCAGGTACAAGATGGGGACATAAGTAGGCTCTCTTACATGGGCCCAGAGCTGGCCACTTGGTGATACCTGAGGCAGGGGGGATAGGCAAGCCCCTAGGAGGGAAGGGGACTGCTGGGCCACTGGAGAGAAGCCTGATCTCGACCCAATAGGGTCTCCCCCAATAAATCAGGGGTTCCTGGGGCCAGGACATCTGGGGCCTCAAGGCAGGTAGAGCCCAGAGTCCTGGGAGCCTACAGTACTGGGCATAGCCCCATGCCCACTGTACAACAATGCACTGCAACCCCTGCTTCACCACAGGCCCTGAGCCTCTTCCTGGGATAAACTGACCAGGTATACACAACTAGCGGAAGACTGAGGGGTTGCCAGGGTGCATTCCCTCACTCCACAGCTTCTCTGACAGAGCCAGCAGGCAAAGCAGGCTGGAGCAGAGCTCACAGGTAGTCAGTTAGGTCTGTTCCCGTACCTCCCTCCTTCACCTGTCCAGTTGATGGCAGAAGCCCGCAGCACCCTGATGCTCCAGGTGTACCCTGCCTCTGCCCTGAGAAATCTGGGAGGCTTGAGGTGTGCTACTTGCTTGGGGGTTAAGAAACTGGAAGCAAATTAAACACGCAGAAACACACACAAATTAAACACACAAAAAACAACAAAACTCAGTTTCCACCAGGGCTTTCTCCCAGGGCTGAATAGAGTCCCTGGAACCGCTTCTGGGCTGAACAGAGGCCTGGGTTTCCCATGAAAGGAGACCTCTGGGGAAAAAGCAAGACCAGGGACAGTGGGAGTGGGGGTTTCCAGACACAGTTTAGAGGGCTTTACTCTATTTCATTCATCAGCATAAAACACAAGGATGCAGCAGCACAGAGTAAATGGGACACATCCATCAGTGGGCCTAGCTCACTCTTCGTGAAAGCAATTTTCGGAAAATAAAAGAATAAATAAAACCTCTAGAAGAAAGAATGAATGGGGGTAACCTCCCTGCCATTCTGCCTTTGACAATCGGTCCTGTTCTCTTTCGCTTTTTCGGGATGTCCTCTCTGTATGGTCATATGATACTATGATTTGGGGGTGGTTGTAAGGAACCCAATAGTCTGAGCCCTCTATTGCTGGCCACCACCGCGGTCCCTTTCCGGCACAGAATTCATGCCCCAACTGCTGGCATGCCTGGTCTGAGTCCTGCATCCATTAGGCTAGGAAGGTGGTCCTAGGCCCAGCTTTTACCTGCTTCCGAGAGGTCCCTCAGGGAGCTGCTGAGGGCGCTGCGCTTGAGGCCCTCACTGCTGGCATAGCTATCATCCAGGCAGGCCCGGTTCAGCGTCCCGTTGCCCGACTCCTTTTTGAGACTGGAGCACTGGGACATGCTGGGCCGCACAACGCCTTTCTGCTTCTCAAGCTCCGCTGAAATAGAGGGGCAAGGGCTCAGTGAGAGAAGCATGTTTAGCCAGGAGAGGGCAGCAGGGGGTGGGATGGCAGACAGAGCCAGGACCTATGCCAGGAGGAAATGCAGAAAACCACCATCCTCTGTTCAAGGTTGGCACTGTACTGAGTCTCCATCTGCTTGGAATGGGGGAAACGTAAGGAGCATGGTTGTCTTAGGAAAAAGAAGATGTAATGGCTGGCTATCTTCAATAAAAGGGAGCCCAAAGGAGACCCCAGAAAGGAGGTTGGAGAGGTCAGAGTGCTTTGTAATCCACAGGAAACACAGTCACTTTCTAGGCTTGAGGGTCAGAGGAGACAGAGTTGCCTGGGTCTGGAGATGAGCAAGAGTTAACTGGCCTTGCATGGAGGTGCCAGAGGGAGAAACACCTGCACCTCCTGGCAGTGAAGCTTGGAGCCAGGAGAGGCAAGGGTTATAATGGGCTCTAACAGAACCCAGGTGATGGGCTTGGCTGTAACCTCATCAATCTGTAGGGCCCTGATTTGGAAGGCAAATAAATAATGACACTGAAGTGCAAAGAGCTCAGCTCCAGGAGTTTTTGTCTCATGGGGTTGCCAGGGACCTGTCCTTAGAGCATGCGATGTGGTATCACAAGCAGGATGGGCCTGGGTCTCTGAAGCCCTGGCTCTCACCAGGAGGCCTCTGCCATCCCCTTCCCTCTCTGTATCATCTCCTGTGACCTTGGCATATGGGCTGCTGGTCACATGGCTGTGGGAAGACCTGAAAAGACTGGTGAATCTCATTTCTGCGGGCTCTCAGAGTTACTGCCACCATATAGGAGCCAGCGCCTGTGTCCGAAAGATGCCAAGGTCATGGCTCTTCCTCCCCAGGAGGTCTGCAACTTACATTCTATTCTGTGCTTCTCCATCTCCTGCACCTCCGCGATGGACTCTCGTAGGTCATCAGTGAATTTCTTTCGGTCTTGAGGATTGGGAGCATTAAAGTTTATTAATACTTTTATGTCGGTTCCAGGGACTGCAGACGTGAGCCGGATGCCATTGGGGTAGTCTGCAAAGAAAAAGGAGTAGCCTACAAAGTGTGAGTGTCCTAGGCAGCAGCCAGTTCCCTTCCAAAATCCCAGGGCTCCCATGACCCACTCACACCCAAAGAAGGCCTTCCAATTGTACCTAAGAATGAATCCTGACCAAGCACTTCCTCTGTGCCAGGAATGCTTTACAGGTATCTAATGGTGTGAGGCAGGCACTGGCAACACCTATTTTATAGACAAAGGGAACGTAGCCCAAAGAGGTTAAGCAGCCAGGCCACACAGCTACTAACTGCAAGAGCTAGGATTTGAACCCTGGCTGTCAGCTCCAGGGCTCAGCCCTGGACCTGTACAGTCCCTCCAGTATTACCTTCAACTGTTTGGCCATATTTGCATATCATCTATGCCATTTACTTCATGCTTTCTTATCAATATTTTATTTAAATAAATTCACTCTGCCCTAAATTAAAAAATCTTATCACCTGCAAGAAGTAACAGTAAAAGTAAATTCAATGAGCACTATGTATAAGGTTATTAAATTCTTCCTAATTATTGCTGCTTATTAGACAAAGAGAGCATAGGAGAAGCCACCCTGGGCTTCTGTCATTGATGGCAGAAAGAGGAAGGAGAGAGAATGGGAAAAAGAGTGCTTCCTGACTATGAAGTTAGAGCTGTGTGACGGTCATAGCCATGTGTGGACAAGTGCTCCAGCACATACACATCTAGGCCAAGGCAGGCCTCCAGGATAGACTTACACTGGTTCTCGAAAAGCAGGACCTGCATGCCATACAGGGAGAAGGACTGTCGGAAGCTGTACGTCACTGAGTTCTTCTTCTTCTGGAAGATTTTGGTGACCTAGGGGCGGCCAGAAACAAAGGCTAAGTCACATCATCTTCACTGCCCCGGAGCAGCTCAGGGAGTTCAGGATTATAAATGGATTTGGCAATGTTCTCCTGTGTGAGAATTACTCTGCAGTTCAGAGGTCAGGAGACCCTTGTGGAAGGGAAGAGCTGACACAGGGAGGAACATATGTACATTCATGCCTGGATGTGGATACTGTTTTCTGTTCCTGTGAGACCCTGGTGCCATTCTGGCTGGCTACAAAGCGCTTCAAACCCAGCAGAAAGGTATAAGGCATATTATCTCGTGATATCGAGGGCACTGTGCAAGGGTCTTATGTCCATCTGACCACTGTAACCTTTTGAGAGATTAATTTTATAGTGGAAACTGAGAATCAGAGATCTGAAGTGACTTGCTTAAAAGGGATGCTTAATAAAGGATTTGAACCCACATTATCTGGATTATGATCTCAGGAATCAGAGAAGAGTAACTTATTCTCAAACAGGTGGGAACTGGGGATAGGGGCCTCTGGCAAGAAAGTCTGTGGCATGCAGGAAAGATAGAGATCCAAGAACATGTTCCTCCTGCTCTCTGCAGGGGCATCTTCACCCCTACTGGCTCGCAACTGTGCTGCCATTTTTTGGGCTAGAGCTCCTCAGTCTCCCTATCTCTCTGCCACCCTCAGTCCATTAGTCCTGAGGCTGTGACTAACTCAGGCTCAGGCACAGGAAATGAGACCTTTGCTTGGATTCTTAGGAAGAGAATCCCACTGGTGGCCAAGGGGACAGAATTAAGCCTGGAGATGTTGAGGCTGACTTTCCTTTCTCCGATGGAGCCTCCCTGCGAAGGGAGCCCATGCAGAGGAAGAGCCTATGCAGCTAAGAGACAAAACATAAAAAGGAGTCCTGCTAACAAGTCTAAGCCTCTGGAACCTGCCACAGCTAGGGCTCCAAATCCCCCTCTGGACTTTTACATGAGCCAATGAAGCCCTGTTTTCATCAGCAGCAGTTTGAGTTGGATTCTGCCCTCGGTAACCCAAAGACATGGGAGAACTCTACCCCTCACCTCTACCCTACAGCTATGTGTGCATTTTCTCATGCTCACGGCACACAGCCAGGTCTCCTTGCACTGCAACTCTCAGTCATGACACCCAGTGGGGCACCACATACCACCAGAAGGTCGTTAAAAAGGAAGATTTCTCGCTGGTGCAGTCCGAGTTTCTGGGGCTTATTTGGGTCTGGAACCTCGAAGAGCCGGCAGTAGCAGACCAGACGCCGGTGAGGCAGAGAGAGCACCTGTGCAGGGAGGGAAAAAGCAGCCCTCAGCCACCTGACCCTCCTCTGAGGGCTGGGCAACACAGGACTAGCCTGTGTGCTAGAAACCCAGCCCTTGGGCCTTTTGTTCAAAAATGCCTTATCTTGTAAACCATGCAGAATGAAATGTATTTTTTGGCTTGTATCAATTTTCTCAATCTGTTCTCAGGAACTCTTCTGCAGGACCATGGTAAATACCTCCCTTCTTGTAAGATGTCCCTTCAATTCTTTTAGGCAGGTATCAGATTTCTTGGAGCAACATGCTCACATGTGAACCTCTAGCCAGAGAGGAATGCATATTTTCTGAGTCCCCACAAAGTGCCCATTAAACCTGCAAACATTTTTCCAGAGATAGTCTACTCTAGATGAAGAAACTGAGGCACAGAGAGGTTGAGCAACTTGCCTCAGCCACACAACCAGCTGGCTGCAGAAACTTGGGAGATTTTCTACTCCTAAAGGATTTTGATGCTTCTGCAGCCTGAAAGACCCTGTCCAAACTCTTGAACCAGCAGTCAGTGCTGTGGGACCTGACCTGATCCTCTGCTCTACACACTTGCCTTGAGTTCAAAGAGTCCCCACCTCGCAGCCCAAGCTGTTCTCAAGGCCTGGTGTGACAAACCATCAGGGAAGCCCAGTCATGGCTCTGGGAGTTCCCAGGCTTACCATGCAGGAGACAGATAAGTTAGTAAGGAGACAGATAGTACACGCCTGGATAAGACCCCCAGCAGGTAAGCATGGTTGGAGCCAGAGAGTGTTAACTCTGCTAGGGGCACCCTGGTAGAGGGCACCCAAGCTCAGTGCATCAGGAAGACAAGAAGAGGGGAGGGAAATGTATGGCCCAGCCTGGCATGCTCAGGGAGCAATGCTGTTTGGAGCAAAAGTACAAAAGAAAGATGGTGAAATGTGGGGCTAGAGAGGTGAGTGAGGGCAGGTCATGGAAGTATCCAGTTGTCTTGGTCTCTAGGGGAAACTGGGAAGAGGAGGGAAGTTAGAGGGGTTTGTGAGCCTGGCTTGGCTGGCCAGTGATGGGTAAAGACACCCGAGGGATGTGTCAAGGGACTGCCAGGTTAGCCATATATATGTGTGCTCCAGAGGTGTGCAGACAAACTTCCTCAAGGTTGTGGAAGTGTAAAGGGTCCTGATGCATGAGCAAGTTGTTGTGGGCAGAGCGTGGGCTGGGCAAGGAAGGAGAAGACCCTCCATTGCACACCAAGATCATTTGTTTCAGGTGCAGTATCTTGAGGTCTGGGTACAAGCCTTGGTCTCTGAGCTCAGTTAGACTCAGACAAGAGGAAAGGAGACTATCTGCTTTCAGAGCCTAACAGCACAGCCCTCTCCGTGTGGCCATGAACTCTGGGCCTGCAGAGGTTCGAGGCTGGGATAATTATGAAAACTAAATTTCTTATTGCCCCAGAAATTAACTCAAGCAGCCAGACCTGTGGATCTGGGAGCCAGGAAATATGATCATGCTGGGCACCCCCAGGGTGGGATATTAGCTGGAATGTGAAAGCAGAGGGATACTCACACAGCCAAGCCCATGATGCAGGGATCCAATCTACATGGGGAAACAGTAAACAAAGAAAAAAGATATCAATGTTCTAAAAGATACACCCCACCCTGAGGGAACTAACAGGCAATGCAAAGTCAAAGAAGCAATGTCTCTCCCACAGCACCTTTCTTTAGCTCAGTCCACCCACACTCCAGGGGGTAAATGGGGGAGGACCTACTGTTAGCAGGCTCTGAGGGGGCTCTGAGGGCATTCTCAGGTCACCAAGGAACCACTGTACAATTCTGCCTGTTGGTTTGTTAAGCGCCTTAGGTTCTCTTCGATTTTAACCCAGAGCAAAGGCTCATTAGTCCCAAATATTAGAAGCCACTTGAATCAAAGCAAGCAGCAGGTCTGGGGTCAAACTGAGAGGGTTGGAAACGGTTGGTGAGGATCCCGCACCTGCCAGCTGCTGCCCTGGGACACAGAGCCACCACATACCGGCTTCTTCCCCACGATGAGCTTCTCCACCTTCTGCACCTGGGATACGTGGTCCTCATTGGTCTTCAGCTCTCGCTTGCGGATACGCTCATAGATCCCGATCAGCGTCTCCCGGGGAATGTCTTCACCATCATCCACCCCTGGGTAGGAGACAGCAGCCAGGTATTCAGCCCCAAGCTCACCCTGAGTTACCATTTTTAAAACCAAATCAGAACAGCAATCCTTTTCATCAGTCCCAACAGAACCACAGACCTTCCAGACCCACAGCTACTGAACATCCTCAGTCATCCAGATTCCTCAGAATCCTTCCACCAGGGACAAGGCCAATACAGCCACCTGGACTAGTGTAGGGGGGCTGCTCAGAGAGCTTGATAAATATTACCTTGCAGATCCTGACCACAGCCCCGTGGGGTGGGCATAACCATTCCTGTTCCACAGATAGAAAAGCCCAGGCCCAAGCATGGGGTTGGGGTTTGAGTGAGGGGAGGCTGTGTAGACAGCGTTTGTGAGTTCAGACTCCAATGGACCTGGGCCCAAGTCCTCACTTCATCCCTTGTTAGACTTGTGACTCAGTCTTTCTGAGGAAGTGTGAGCAGCTCATGGCATGCTCCACAAAATGAGAGCTCAGTGTGTCTGAGCAGTTTTGCCAGCTGTTGTACCACATCATGTGGGCAGAAGCTGGAGGCCAGGACTCGAACCCGGTTGCCCTGACAAATGCACACCCTTTCTGCTACACCACCCTCAGAATTGTTGTGAGTAAAGAAACTCAAACCCATATCCATCCTCAGGCCTCAGACTGGCTCATGGTTTGATAACACACACTATTAATGAGGCTATGGGAGGGGCATCCCATAGACTGCAGGTGGGATGGTGAAATGGTGGGCAATTTGGCACTGTCACAATTATAAATTCAAACACCCTCTGGCCCACTGATTACATTGGGGGAATTTATCTCATGGGACAGGATACACATACAAGGTTATTCACTGCAGCATTGTTTCCAAATAGGAGAAAACCGGAAGTAACCCATTTACCCATCAACAGAGGACTGGTCAACCAATCATCACACACTGGCACAACAGAGTACTATGCACCTGCAAGCAGCAATAAAGACCACAGCAAACCAACATAAAAGCATTCTATTGGATTTAAAAAAAAATTTATTTTTCAATTACAGTTGGCATACAATTTATGTTAGTTTTAGGTATACAGCATAGTGGTTAGACATTTATATAACTTACAAAGTGAATCCCCCAATAAATCTAGTACACCTGACACCATAGTCATTATTGACTATATTCCCTATGCTGTACTTTACATCCTCATGACTATTTTTACAACTGGCAATTTGTTCTTAATCCCTCATCTTTCTCACCTAGCCTCTCCAAACCCCCACCCCCAACCTGGCAACCATCAGTTTGTTCTCTATTTCTATGAGTCTGTTTCTGTTTTGTTTTTAAGATTCCACATATAAGTGAAATCATATGGTATTTCTTTCTTTAACTTATTTCACTTAGCATAATACCCTGTAGGTCCATCCATGTTGTTGAAAGTGGTAAGATTTCATTCTTTTTTATGGCCGAGTAATATTCCATTGTATATATGTACCACATCTTCTTTATCCAATCATCTACTGATGGGCACTTAGGTTGCTTTAATATCTTGGCTATCGTAAATAATGCTGCAGTGAATGTAGGAGTGCATGTATCTTTTAATTTTTTCATCCCTTTACTTTCGGTCTGTGCGTATCTTTCAATCTGATGTGAGTCTCTTGTAGGCAAAGTATATAAGGGTCTTGTTTTCTTATCCATTCAGTCACCCTTATGTCTTTTGATTGGAGCTTTAGTCCATTTAATATTTAAAGTAATTATTGACACATAAGTACCCTTTTATTATTCATATTTTTAATCTTTTAATTATTGACACATAAGTGCCCTTTTATTATTCATATTGCCCTTTTATTATTCATATTTTTAATCTTTTTTCTCCTCCTTCAAGAAGTCCCTCTAACATTTCCTGTAATATTGGTTTGGTGGTGATGAATTCCTTTACTTTTTCTTGTCTGGGATCTCTTGGATTTATTAAATGAAAAAAAAAAAGTAAATACAGAAGAAGGTAGAACCAATCATGGAAGTCTGTACTTGCTTGAATAGAGGAATTTTGTGTGGGACTTCAGGAGCTAAACACTGATGACCTCTAGGGGTGGAAAGTATGGCCAGGCAGATGGCAAGGGTGGAAGGCTCTGCTATGGACCTTTTATATCTTCTGGGGGTTTTAAAACAGAATTTATTTTTAGAGCAGAATGAAGTTCACAGAAAAATTTGGGGGAAAGTACAGAGATTTCCCATATACTCTCTGCTTCCGCATCGGCCTCCCCCATTATCAACCACTCCAACCCAAGTGGTTCATTTGTTACAAATGATGAACCTATACTGACACCTCGTAATCACCCAAAGTCCAGAGTTTACCTTAGGGTTCACTCTTGCTGTTGTACTTTCTATGACAAATGTATAAAGACCTGCATTCATCTATCATACAGGGAGTATTTTCCCTGCCCTTAAACTCTTCTGTGCTCCACATATTCATCCCTCCCTCTCTACCACCCATGGCAACCATTAATCTTTTTATTGTCTCCATAGTTTTGCCTTTTCCATTATGTCATATAGTTGGGATCATACAGTATGTAGCCTTTTCAGATTGGCTTCTTTCACTTAGTTATATGCATTTATGGTTCCATGTCTCTTCATGGCTTGGTAGCTCATCTCTTTTAGCGCTGAATAATATCTCATTGTCTAGATATACCAGTTTATTTATCCATTCACCTACTGAAGGATGTCTTGGTTGCTTCCAGTTCTGGCAATTATGAAAAAACTGCTAAAAACATCTGTGTGCAGGTTTTTGTGTGGATGTACATTTTCAACTCATTTGGGTAAAAACAAAGGAGCATGATTTCTGGGTTGTATTACTTTCTGGCTTTGGAACTATGTGAAGATAATACCCAATTTAAAAAATATACATTAAAAATTTTTTAAACAAAAACAATAAAAAGAAAATACTGCTCATTTGGCTTCCATGCTGGTGAGCTATTCCTCTTCTACCTATCCTTGAACCCCCACTGGGGAAACTGGAGTGAGTGATTCTGGAGAAAATGTGTGTCCAGTTGTGTGTGTGCACGGGGGGGAGGAGGGAACCTCTAAAAAAAACAAGCTAGACATGTGTCTGGCACAGTGCCAGCCTAGCTTTGGGAGATCAGGATCCTATCTCCTCTGATACTCACTTGCTGTGTGATCTGGTCAAGTCCTGTCTCACTCTGAGCCTTAGTTATTCCTTCTAAAGCACAAGGAAGATGGGGCAGAACACCTCCAAGTCCCTGGATTAAAAAGAGGTGATTTGGCAGGAACATCCCAAGCTAGGGAGATAGAACCAGCAGCTCGCTCTACTGGTTTTAGGGTGCTCAGCCCCTACTCTGGGAAGTGGGATGATAACATCACCCTGTCTCACCCAGACTAATGAAATGGCTGGGTATAAAGATGAATACGAACCACAAAGCCACTGACAAGAGGGCAAATATCTTACTCAGCAGCCCTGTCCTTCCCTGAGTCTTCTGTCCTCTGGGCTAATCATTTCTGGCTCCTCCTGTTATTTCTCATATAGCTATCAACATCCTAGTACGGTGGTCCCCACCACCAGGGGGACATCAGGAAGGTTCAAATCCCAGGGAGGGCCCCGTAGAGCCTCCATGAGAGAATTATCCTGCCCCAAGAGAGGGGATTGCAGAACAGAAGTTTTACATAAATAAAGGAGAAGAGTAGACAATATAAATGGCTCAACAAGCTCACAGTTGGACTTGACTTAGACCAGCTTTTTCTCCTTTTATAAAAATATGATAACATTTCTAAGGGGACCTCAAGCCTGCTACAGCTGGAATTTCTCAAGAAGAGGAACATAGTTCCTACTCTGCCTTCCAGGTACTCCAGGTGCATGAGGGACATGCTGTCAGCTAACATGGAGCCACCTGGAAGACAGCTGCTCTCTTTTCAATTCCTTCCCTACTTGATGCCAGGAGAAGGCCTCCCTTCTTGCTGCCTATCTCACCAGCACCTATCTAACATGGATCCACCTGCTAAGGAAGAGAGGGCAGTCTCAGCCTCAGGGCCCAGGCAGAAACAGCTCTGGCTGGAATTAACAGTGGTGCTTTCTTTTCACTGTATTCATTTTTATAATGACTGCCTATGTGTGGCAAATGCTACTGGTTTCCCATTTACAGTGATGATATAAGGTTGCTTTAAAAAGTATAGTTAAAGAAACAAAAACAAGGCAAGTCAGTTTTAAAAGGAACATGGAATGTAGGAGAGGAGTGGTGGGGCAGATGCTGTGAAGGGCACAGCAATGATGGGAGACAGGGTATGCTGGCCCCTCTATCTGGCCCCCGCCTGCTGGAGGCCTCAGGGTTCCCAGCACTTGGGCTCTATTCCATGCTCCTGCATATCCTCCCAACCAGACTTTGGTAAACCTGTGTCTGGCTCAGCACTCTGGCACTGTGACAAGCTGCCTTCTCAGGCCTTTGTTCTCTCGTAAGAAACTTCCCTCCACCTCAACCTGTCAAACCCCTGTGCATCCATACCAAGCGAAAAACATCACTTCCTCCAGAAGTAAGGCTCCCCGCACCCAGAGACTCAGGCATGCGTTGCTCAATCTGTACCCCCACTATCTGCACCCTTAAGACAGCACTTGCCCTTTATGATAATTTGTGCTGCATTTGCACATTATTGGGATCAACGCTCCCTGAAGGCCCTTCTGCCCAAGAAGTGGGTGCACTGGAGCCTGGCTCCCTTGTTCTCCTGCACCCAGCGTGAGGCTATGTTGAATTCACCTCTCAGCCCCACACCTGGGAGGCTGTGCTTCTGAGCCCAGAGCAAGGAGAGCTCACCTCGGAGGTTCTTGACGAAGTCCTCCAGCTTCATTTTGCGCTCAGGCTTGACGTTGGGGCTGTACATGTCCGTGTTGAGCAGGATGATGGCAAAGGCCAGGATGAAGATGGTGTCTGGGTTCCGGAACTGCCGCACTACCCCGGGGTTACAGATACAGTACCGCTGGCTGGAGGTCAGGGTGAGGGAAGAAGGTCAAGGCCACCTCAGTCAGGAGCCTGCCCCTTACTCATGATAGCCGCCACAGCTTAGCCTAACACTAAACAGCTGAGGCTGGTCACTGCTCTCTGAGGCTCAGCTTTTGCATCTGGTAAATAGGGATAACACTTGCCTGGCAGAGAGTCCACCCTGACTATCCACTCATCCCTTCTCACTTTAGTTATATTCCACCCACCTGCACTATAGCTGGCAGTGGTTCTCAGGGTGAAGACCACATTCCCCAATCTCCCTAGGAGCTGGTACAGCCAGATGACTAAGTTTTGGACAATGGAATGTGAGCACCTCCAAGACTGTACCTTAAAAGGCAGGAGTGTGCCCTGTACTCTCT